TACATTTAGTACTTTATATATATATATATATATATATATATATATATATATATATATATATATATATATATATATATATATATATATATATATATATATATATATAAGATTATTAGCCTTTTTAATTTTAAAATTTGAAAAAACCCACAAATTGATATGTGGATATTACTTATTTAAAAAATATCACAAAATCACAAGTATCAAAACTCCTTAGAGATTGACGACAAAATTATCTTCATTTATTATAGTAGAGACTTTGGATTTAATCAAATATGTGAAAAGAAAACGAAATAAAGATTTATTATTTTATAAAAGACTAAAGAAAAGGAAATTTTAATTAATTGGTCAAAGGAAGGTCAACATTTAAAAATTAAAACCTAAGCTATCAATTGCATGCTATAGTGATGCTATAGCGTTTTGCAGAGGTCAATAACCGCTATTTTCAAAATAACATTTTCATTTCCCGGTACTGCTATTAGTGGCGCAATTCACCGCTATTTCAATAACCGCTATAACAGCGCTATTCCATTTCCGTTCACACTTTGGGCAATTTGGTTACTTTGTTAATGAAAAACTAGTTTAATGATCTCACTATAATTTCATTTAAAAACCCGAACAACTAACATAATTAAAAACAATTAAATCAACTACGTCTATCGATAACTCTCTTTCTCATCTCTTTCTGTACTCACGAAGACTTAAGGTGCTATGGTTGGACTCCATTAATGCTTTTGTAAATCGACCCACACCTATGACGCTAGGACTTGCGACTTAACTCCTTAAATCAACCAATACCTACTAATACGATATTGAACTCATGCAATGAAATTAAACTCTATTTGACACTTTGACACTACCTAAATTCCATACTACTATAACAGAATATTATGCTATGTTTTTATATGACTTTTTAGGTTTGATGATATTAATTGTATATAGAATTATAGTATTAATACTCAAATATATAAATGTATATAAATATAATATAAAATTATAAATTATAAGTAATATTAAAAAACCACTATATCACCACTATACCACAACAATCTCAAATAGCGGTATGTGACCGATATTGAAATTTTGACCGCGATAACTACATAGATTAAAACACAGACTCCATTTTTTTGCCCGTATGTGTGAATCCTTGGAGTCAACAAAAAAAACGGAAAGAAATAAAAATTGAAGTTGTATGTGTCTTGTGGTATGATCGAGAATTAGAAGGAAAGATGCAGCAAAGCTGCGATAGAAGATGAAGGAGTAATGCCATAGTAGTTTTGCTATTGTTGGCGGAAAGGATAGCCCTCACGGCGACGACTATGGCCATGTTTGGGTTCACAAAGTGTTTTTCCAGGTTAAAAGCATCTCCAATTTATTTCTATTTTCCATAATTTCTTCTATTTTTTTCTTATTATTTTTTTTTTCTATCCTCACCATATTTGTTTCCATATTTTGAAGAAATGAATATTATAACACAAAATATGGTGTTATACAATTTATTTATTCCAAAATAAGGATGAACATTGAGTCATCGATTTTTTTTAAATATATATTTATACATTTCTAGTCTATTTTTATTTACTAATTTTTAAAATAATTTAAATGTAATGTTTAATACTTATAATATTTTGTTATATATTAAATTATATCAATCAATTATAAATATAAAGTTTGTTTTTTGTTTATAAAATTCAAATAAAAATTAAAATACATATTGAAATTTTAAAACACGATAATATATTTTACAAAAGCTTATAATTAAGTGTTATAAATATAATCTTATTTATTTAATATTATTATAATAAAAAATATAGATTATATATTTGTTAAAATGAAATTAGAAGAAATGGTGTGCTTGATAATATATGTAAGTTGAAAGAAAGAAATATATAATGAATATAACTTTTGAGAGTAAAAATGGGATAACAAATAAAGTAGTGTTGGAGATGAAACAATATTCATCTTTTTTTTTTCTTTTCATTTTTAAAGAAAAAATAAATAAAAGTGGGTTGGAGATAATCTAAGTTCTAAAGTTCCATCTCCTAAAAACTTTAGCAATTAAGGTGTGGAGATTTGATTCCATGAATCCATGTTAGATATGTTTTAAGATTAGTGAAATTATTACGAATATTTGTGATATCTGCTAAAAATATTTATGGGTTAATGCTTATGGATTGATGTTTTAGTGTTACAAGGAACTCTAAACATGAATTCATTTCACTTAGAGCATCTCCAACCCACTCTTATTTTTAATTTTTCTCCATTTCTTCTCCCATTATTTTCCAACCCTCTCCATTTATTCTCCCATTTTGGGGGATATGAATAGTATTACACTAAATATGATGTTATACTATTCATTTACACTAAAATATGGATGAACTTTACGTTATCGGTTTTAATCCATCTGTTGTATATTTATATATTTTTAGTTCATTCTTACCTATTAATTATAATTTAAATATAATATTTAATACTTATAATATTCTGTTATATATTAAATTATATTAATTAATTATAAATATAAAGTTAGTTTTTTGTTTATCAAATTCATATAAAAATTTAAATATATATTAACATTTTAAAAAACGATAACGTATTTTACAAACACTTTTAACTAATATATATATATATATATATATATATATATATATATATATATATATATATATATATATATATATATTACAAACACAATAACATATGCTATTAAACATGTAGTTAAACTATATATTACAATAATAATCTAATAAAAACGACCAAGTCACAATACTATTATTTATTTATTTAATATTTATTTAAAAGTGTGTACGTGTAATATTTTTATAAATGAATGTATAATATTTATTTATAAGTTTATTATAAATATAAGAGTAAATTACTGAAATCGTCCCTGTGGTTTGGTTAAAATTGCATGTTTGGTCCCTAACTTTTTTTTTACACTCGGATCGTCCCTGTGGTTTGCTTTTGTTGCGTTTTTCGTCCCTATGGTTTGGTAAAAGTTTCATGTTTGGTCTCTAACTTTATGTATGTAAGGGACGAAAAATGCAACAAAATCAAACCCCAGGGACGATCCGAGTGCAAAAAAAAAGTTAGGGACCAAACGTGCAATTTTGACCAAACCACAGGGACGATTTCAGTAATTTACTCTAAATATAATTTTTTGTATTTAGTATCAATGTAATGAAAAAAATATAGATTATATATTTGTTAAAACTAAATTAGTAGATGAGTGTGTTTGAAATTTGGAATAATGGAATATACTATGAATATATTTTTTAGGGGTAAAAATGAGATAAAAAATGAAGTAAGGTTGGAGATAAAACACTATTTACTACATTTTTTATTTTATTTTTTTGGGGGAAAAAAAAGATGAGTTGGAGATGGACTTAGAGGCTTATATCATCTCCATCCCATCCTAAAATCTCATTTTTTTCCCTTTATTTTATTATTAGGAAAGTTTTGATATATTTTCCTAAGTTTTAGGAGTTTGTTTTGGTCTAGGATTGTTATAGTTTTAGCATGACACTATAAAATTAGTGCTCCATTGATGTTTTTCTTTATACAATTTCAATGAAATAAAACTCTGCACGGCTTTAGGAGATCTTCTATCGAAATCAGGCAAAATTCTTATTATTGTCCCATAACTCATACGAACTATTTGTCTAGATTTTATACCATTAGTTTAATTCAAGACATCAAGTATCTTAGCGTTTTGGTCCTAGAACCTAGTTAAGTCCAACTGTCCAAGTCAACTTGAGTTTTTCAACCTGGAAAATTTGGTCCCTCAGATTACTAATGACCGGTTTGACCCAAAGTAATCATCTATAATTTACTTGAAACTTTTAAATTCATTTAGGTTGTTTATTTTATTTTAATTTTAATTTAACTATTGTAATTAAAAAAAAAAATCCACTTAAAACGTTAAATAACATCAAAAATTTATCATCATGCGACATTGATTTTCATCATACCTTTTGCATTTATGCCAAACATATACTCATGTATAAATCCATGTAACCGCTAACAAAGAAAAAGTATATTTTTTTGATTGTATGAATGAATATTATGATGATGCATGTTTTTAAAAGAAATCATCAAGGTCAGTTAGGGGAAAAATAAATTGTTCGCAAAAGCAAAGCTTTTTGCCCAGGTTGCTCCATTGGGGATTTTTTTTCTTAACATGTATAGAGATAGAGATGAGAATTTGTCCCGAAAACCCGAATCGAACCGAACCGAATAAGGCCTAAATATGCAAATTTGATTTGGGTTTTGGGTATCTATATTATACATATTCGGTTCGGGTTATCCAAATAAGAGTTTATTCGGTTCTAAATACCCGACCCGAATAAGCATTCATACTCCCCTTTCTCTGATCGACGGAAATCAAAATCACGATTCACACTTCTGTCATCGTCGTTCATAATAGAAATAAAAACCCTACATTTGTTCTCTTCATTTCAAAATCGATCAATCTTCTCATCTATTTTCAAACTCGAAATCACTCTGTCAATCTTTCCTCTTGTTTCAAACTTTCAAAAATTGACCCTACCTATTGTTTCTAAGGATTCACGAATTCCTACTCTGTCTAGTCATGGAAAATTAGGCTCCAACTCAAGAAATTCAAGTAAGAAATTAATTATCATTATGTTAATCTACTATGAAAATGTTTTCTTTCAATGTGTTATTGTGTTATGTTATTCTTTGAATGTTTTATGTTGATGTATAAAAATACATTGTTATCCTATTATTTGGGTTATTCGGGTTATACAATTCTAATATGGTTTATTCGGTTTTTTAGGTTATATTAAGTCTTTAATCATCTTGTACATGTTATTCGAATTATTTGGGTAATAACTGAATCGAACTAATTAATACACGAACCGAACCAAACCCGTATTGGTTAATCGGTTCGGATTCAGTTAATGCAATTACTTTTATTCAGTTTTCAGGTTATTCGGGCTCGGATCGGTTCGGTCCGGTTCCGACCTAAATAACATTCCTATCTAGAGATATTCCACACCTGTAGCATGTGGGATTCTTATTAGAGTTACTTTCTTCCCATTATTGCACATTAAAACCCTACCATCGGGTCTCTTCTCCACATGAGAGTTTATAGTAACATGAGCATATTTTAGGGTCTTTTCCAACATGAAATGATTTTATAAGCACAATTAGGCGATCTTTTTTTTTTTGTATCATTATTCATAAATAGAGTATGAAACGGTTCCATAAGATAGAAACTATTCGAGATACGTATTTCTTAGTACACTTTTTAAAGGTTATCCCAATTCCCAAAGTTCATTTGGTGTTGACTCTTCGAAAAGACACAAATGAATTAAATTTGTTCTCAAATAGTGATCAATTCTTTTCCCTTTAATACATTGTCTCAATTGAATCCAGAAATCCCGACAACCCCAACTTGAGCTTGCCACAAACCAAAATTGATCGTATTCATATCACAAAAAAAGCAATATTTTTCTATAAAACAACCAACTTATTTCTTAGGTAGAAAATCAACAAAGATGCATCCGCAAAGCATACTAAACCATGATTAAAGGTCACTAATTCCAATTTCCCAAATACCTAAACTTAGTCTTTCATATACAAGCAAGCAACCAACCTCCTCAAACAATACAAATTTAAAAATAAAATAAAAAAGATTAAAGACTAAAGATTACATACGAAAGTCCAAAATGCAAACTACATTATTTGAAAAACATGCACCAATCTTATCCCCTTCTTTGTTCCAGCAAACCTCAAATATCCCACCACTCCCAACATATGTTTTCACCACCTTCGCTTCCTTCACAGACCATATGTGCATGCATTTATCCAACGACCCACTCGCCAAATACTCCCCATTTGGACTGAATGCAACCGAATACACCGGATCCCTTCATCCATTCATTTCAACATATAATTAAATATATATTCCAAAACACAACATAATTAAAAATGAAATAATTGTGTGTGTACCCATGTGCAACTAAGCTGTGGAGGAGGCTCCCTGTTTCCACGTCCCATAGCTTTATTGTTGAATCAAACGATGCACTGTTTTTTTATATAACGAAATCAACATCATCAAAAAAAAATAAAAAAATAAAAATAAGTGAAGCTTTATAATATTTAATTATTTACCTTGCTAGCACTAGCGGCTGGTTAGGGTTATTTGTTCCTGGGCCTGTTGGGCTCCATCTTATGGTGTATATTTCCTGTATATTTATTTATTTTATAATTAAAAACAAAAATAATCATATGTCATGTAATATGTAATACCTTTGTATGTTCCTTTAAATCATGCAAACAGGTGTCCTGCTTTACGCTCCATATCTAATTTCATAATTGATTTTAAGTAATTAATACATACAAAAAAAATAATCAGAATCACAATAAATAAATAATTACCTTTGCAGTAGAATCATCTGAGCATGAAGCCAGAAGTGTACCAGTAGGATCCCATTTGATGGCATTCACTTCACCCTGGTTTGTAAGTAACATTCATATATTATTAATTAATAATATAATTCAATAAAAAATTTATAGATAATAATTTTTTTTTTTTTTGTTAAACCTGATGGCCCACAAATGTTTTTACAGGTCGATTATCTCCAACTTTACAGACATAAATCATGTTGTCGGTTGAGCAAGTTGCAAATGAGACATTGTTGCGCCAATCAACATCAAGAGTAGGAGCTGCATTTTTTTTTTTTTTTAAAAAAGTTAAAAATTAAATATATGAAGAAACAAAAATTAAAAAATAAATAGAAAGAAACAAAATACCTGCATGAAACTCAAACTGTTGTTTCCATTCTCCAGTCTTAATGTCCCATACAATTGCAGTTTTGTCTACACTTCCACTTAAAAGATAGTCTCCTTTCTTGTTCCATTTTAAAGAGAATATTGGCCCCTTATGTTTTGTTAATGTACTCATCAGCTCCCCTAAATAAATAAATAAATAAATAAACCTAACTTAATTTTATTTAAAAAAAAAAAACACATTGAAAAAGGAAAAAAGTAATTTAATTAAATTTACCATCTTTACTCCAGATTCTGGCTTGCCCATCATAGGAACCTGTTGCAAGTAGAGTTCCATCACCCTACATTACAAATTCCATTTATCAGTTTGAGATGTAAACAGTAAAAAGTAAAAAGTTAAATAAATAAATAAATAAAAGACTCACATTCCAGTCAAGTGTGGTTACATCTTTGCTCTTATCATTTGTTCTACCTCTGTAGTGTTTCAAAACAGCAACATCCAAGGGGCCTTTTTGTAAATTTGAGCTACAAGGTCCATCACCAATTGTCCAAATTCGAGCTGTGGAATCTCCAGACCTAAATATATAAGAAATTCAAGTCAGAATCTAGAATTATATATATATATATATATATATATATATATATATATATATATCATCTTCTTCTTGTTGTAGTTAAGATATACGCACCCAGATGCCAAAAGAGAGCCAGCTGGACTCCATGCACAAACAAAAACCTGAGGAAAATGGTTAAATTAATTTAATATGAAGCCATGAAAATTGCTAGTTAATTAATTCAAATCCATTTCTATTGAAAAAGTCTAAATGGTCAGATGAATTACTGTTTATATGACAAGAAAACTAAAATTATAAAAGAATCGATGTTCTTTAAGAAAAGTTTAAAGCAAGATTTAAGAAATTAAGAATTTACACAGACCTCAGAAGTATGACCTTCTAAAATTGTCACATCAGAGTTAGGGATAACAGAAGGCAAAGCTGTTGAGCTTGTGTCAATCTCCATTGGTTCTGCTCCTATTTCACATTAATGAAGAAAAAGAATATATAATAATAATATATATAGCTAGATTTATAAGTTATAAACATGGTAAATCATATTTCTATAACACAAAGAATGTATATTACCTTCTGCAATCACATTTTCTTCAGGTTGGACTCGTATCTTATCCTCAAGATCCTCGTTTTTCTTCTCTTTCTCTTTGTGTTTACCCTTATTATCTCTTTCTCTTTCTCTTTCTCTCTCTATCTTCTCTTTCTCCAACTCACGTTCTTTTTCCCTTTGTTGTTTTTCCTTCTCTTTTTCTCTATGTTGTTCTTGCTCAATTCTCTTTTCTCTTTCTCTATGTTGTCTTTCTTGTTCCTTTTCTTTTTCTCTAGCATGACCTCGTTCCCTTTCTCTTTCTCTAGCATTTTCCTGTTCATGCTCTTTCTCTCTTTCCTTCACATGTTCTTTCTCCTTTTCTCTTGCATGTTCCTGATCATGTTCTTTGTTTTTTTCTCTGTTTTTAGTTTTCTGAAGACTTTCTTTCTTCTCCTTTATCATTTTTTGTAGTTCATAAACATCCTTTGTGATGAGATCGATCGGTTGTATGAAAGAGAAATCTTCATCAATGTCAGAATCATTCTGGAGACAACCCAAGTCAAATATACAGACAACCCAAGTCAAATAAACAAAAGTGTTACACACAGTAAAAGGAATAAAGATTGTAACTTTGTGCTTACACATGTGAGGTTAGCTTCTAGCTCAAGATACTGAATTCCTTTCTGCACAAATGTAACAAGAGCACCAGGTGGAACTAAATTTCCATCTATTGTGCTTTTATTAAGCCCAGCCTCATAACCTAATGTGAAGGCAGTATGTGTGAAACCTGAAAGAACATAGGAGGTTAATGTGAAGGCAGTATGTGTGAAACCCTTTGTAGGCTTCATCTTAACAGAAATACTCTACTAGAATTCAAACTTTAATTGTGAATCTAACCTTGTTAGCTCATGCATTATCAAGATTTTGAAGCAACCACGTTATAAAAAGTGTGGGGGTGTGGTGATAATTAAAAAAATTCAATGGCAAATTGGATGGTGTTATACACTCTCTGTAAGTAGTATTTCGACCCTTACATGCATGGGTTTCACGAAATAATCCAATGGAATACAACTTCCAGTTCACGCACAAAAATAGAAGTCAATCACAAACTTTGAGATCGCAAGAGAGTGAAACTAATTATAAAATTATGTATTTATATCATCAGTCCCAGTAGTTGTAGTCCTATAAATCCGTTAGGTTTCAAATCGCTCTGCTCAATCCCAACCCACCATATGTCGTGGATCATACGAGTGTTTTGAGCATAACCTAAACCCCATGGTACTCCTGTAAATCCCGATTCTCTAAAATGCTAGATGTCACTAAAATCACCAACACTGATATCATAAAATTAGTTAGCTTTCCGTGACCTAAAGCCTAGAATAGTCTATTGACCCCCGATTTTTGAAAATCCAAGCAAAACAAGCCGAAAAGGAGAAACACATTTTCTCAATTCAGCAACAACTGAAAAAAAAAAACCAACATAAAAATAATAAGTGGAGTAAGAACAGACCTGATTCATGTAGATAACGGTACACTAGATAGTTCAACTCTCGCGAATTGATGTTAATCATTGCGAAATCATCAACATTCAAACCCTAATTCGATTTATTCCAGATGTAATTGCTAGAATTGGGATAAAGTTAGACAGAGCTCGAAAGGGCGGAAGAAGGGTTTTGGAGTGACGGGGGTTAAAAGGGGGAAGAGGATTCTCAAATGGGCAAAACCCGAAAGAGTTTTTTGGGTGCTCAAATGGGGTTGATACGATGACCGGTCTAATACCAACTATTTTACGGAACCGATTTATGGCTTTGCTATATATAAAAGAACGAGAAATTAATATCCTACCTTATTTTATTAAATATGATAATTGTTACCGTTTTAAATATGTAAGAAGATTATAGGGAAAAAAATCGAATGATATTTAATTTCTCATAAAAGAAAATTGCATATTAAATAGGTGTTCACTTATATAAAAAGTCAAATATATGCAAACTATGGCTATTCATTATTTGTATATAATCGAATTGTCCAACGACACAATTTAGATTTGATTATTTAGTTTGGATATATGGAATTTTGAATTGATTTTAAACTAAACCGAATTATTATTTTGAATTTCGGATTGATTTAGTTTATAAAATAAAAATCGAGTAGTCCAGAAAAACCGAATAACAACTTATTATTTATTTTTAATATACATCTTTAATTATTTATAAAATTACTAAATTATTTGTTAAGTATTAGAAATTTTCATACAATATAATACATTAATATACTCTTCTTATCAAAAGTTTTTTTGTATATGAAATATTAAAATATAATCAATTTTTCTTAATAGTTGTTTATAATTATAATTCATAACTAATTTTTTTTAGTTACTTTTATAAAGTTGGCTAATATTTAAGTTATATATTTTTAAATGCCTGTCTCTTAAAAACCAAATGGTAAAAGCAGATACAGATGAATTGTAATTTGGTTGGATCGGATCATATATGAATTTAATTTGGATTATTCGGATACATGTTTTGAAAACCAATCCATCATAACGAACACCCTATATACACACATTCATTGAGTACACTAAATAATCTACCCTAATTAATATATATTTAATATAAGAATAGTTTTTTCATATCACATATCCTTTTATTAGGTCTTTTGTTAACACGTTTCATTATGTTATGCATCTGCTATGTTTTTTCAATATTGAATAAAAAAATTATATTAATTGTGTTTCTTCTTTACCCTTTTCGGTATTCAGTGTTTTATTCGAATTTCAAATTAATTCTATGAACCGTATTTTGCAAGATTGTAGCAAATTTTGCGACCGCCCAGCTACTAATTAATTCCCGCTCATAATTTTCACACACACACACACACACACACACACACACACACACACACACACATATATATATATATATATATATATATATATATATATATATATATATATATATATATATATATAGGGTTAGGTTCATTTGAGACCACCTATATTTTGTGATACCGTGAGACGCATTTTTTTATTTATTTTATTTTTTTTAAGTTAATTCATGTTCCGAAAATAATATTAAAATTTTTTTTTTGATTTTTCCATTTATTTTGCATTTCAAAATTATTTTTAGAATATGTACAGTGTAATATTCTATTTAGAATATTTCACGTATTTTTCAAAAAAAAATAGAATTTTTTTTAATTTTTTTTTTTAGTTAATTCAAGTTCCGAAAATAAAATTTAAAAAAAGAATTTTTAGATTTTTCCATTTATTTTGCATTTTAAAATTATTTTTTAGAATATGTCAGTGTAATATTCTATTTAGAATATTTCACGTATTTTTCAAAAAAAAACGGAAATTTTTTTATATATTTTTTATTTTTTTTATATATTTTTTTATTTTTTTTAGTTAATTCAAGTTCCGAAAATAATATTTAAAAAAAGAATTTTTGGATTTTTTCATTTATTTTGCATTTTAAAATTATTTTTAGATTTGGTCTCACAAAATTAGAATGGTTTCAAATGAACCTGAACCTATATATATATATATATATATATATATATATATATATATATATATATATATATATATATATATATATATATATATATATATATATATTCTCGTGGGCACGAGGGAATAGGAAAGTTTTAACTTTCTTACTTTGGCTACAAATTTTTATAACGTTTATAGTTTTGCTTAAGTTGTTTAAATTTATTAGTTTTTGACTTTTTTGGTTTTGCCACACTTTTGAAGTTTTTTTTTCAAAATTGCCCTTTTTTTACACTTGGCCACCAAATTTCCAACTCTGTTAACTTTGGTTACATTTCTTGCTGTTTTATCCATTTTACCAATTCAAAACTCAATTAACGCTCAAAACCCTATTCACCCCATGCGGAAAATGGAGTTCTCCTAGTTATTAACAATTCCAGTTTTTCCCGAAACGTAAACTTCTTCATCATAGAAAGATTGAAAGTGACAATAGTTTACAAACAGATGGGTGACAAATTAGCAAAAAATTAAGAGTTGATTACGAAGAACCCAATATTTGAGGACGAATTTGATTGCTAGATGTCACCATTTATAAAATGGCAACTCCATATCCTACTTATTTATTGTTTTTTTTCGGTGTCTTCATATTCCTCTTGCTATTGGAAGTTGTGTTTCTCTATAACTGGTTAGTATGTTAATTTGTTGATTATATTTGTTTTGACTTTTCTGAGAGTAAACGATTTCATTTTTTCATACAAACAGTTTCATGAGTAAATCATATCATGCTTTCAAGTAAAAGGGTGATGAGGGTGTTAAGTGTGTGTGACTATGAGATTGTGTTTATGTTTGTATATGCGTGACATTCTTATGTAAGTGTGTTCACTGACTGTTTGTGTGGTAGACTATTAGTATTGTCGTGTGTGTATCCCAATTATGATGTTTCTCTTTTCTCCTTACATATTGCACTGTATGTGTTTGATAAAAGTTCACAATAACTTTTGTATGTTCGTGTGTGTCATCGCGTAGACCGTGCCGTTCTTGCTAATTGTTGATCTTTAATTTAAGAGTCAAGATCATACTTGCCCTTTTTGCCATTTAGATGATTATATAATTATGGTTGAATTTTGAAATGAACAGATTTGAATTATATTGAAGATAGTGTTGGTGCCCTGAAGCTATTTTAGGAATTTACCTGTCTTAGATAAAGTGACTATTCTTCAAGTGATTGATTATTATTGTTAACAGTTGGTAAAAGTTAGGCCCCATTTGATATTTGCTGACTGAGTAAGTGCTGATTGAGAAAGATCTGTCTGGGAAAGAAATCCTGACTGAGTAAGAAATCATATTGTTTGATTCAACATCTGACTGGATGTGCTAACTGATGACAAATGACCATTTTACCCTCGTTCCAAAACAACATCCTAAAACATTAATATTTAGAAAGATAGTTGTCATCAAACAATTTTAATTTAAAAAGTATTAATATTAATATACTTGCATCATTTATTAATGATTAATAACCATTAGAACTAACTATTAAAACAAAAACAACCAACGGATCCAATTTTTATTTAAAGAGGATAATTTATTTCTATAGTGGAAGAACATATATATTTTAATATTTGAAAATATTTATCTATATTTTCGCTATACGATTAACTTCCTTTTTTATAAGTCACACATATTAATTTAAAATAAAGTAGATTAGCTAACAATATGAAAATAATAAACCAACTTTTGACAAACTGGTTAGGATAAAACAGGCCCTATATATAAAAATAAATTTTAATAACTTTCACGTAAATTGTTACAATATAAATCAAATAAATAAACCTATTTAATATCATACAATATGTGTTTATAACAAAAAAAAACTATACGCTAGCCCATTAATTGAATCACTTAAATAAGCCCAACAAATCAATAATACAAACCCACTGCAATTACCGAATTGTCATCTTTTTGGCGTTTAGGGGTTTTAGGAAGCAGCCAACGGGAGTTAAAGAAAGGGGAACGATCCAAATTGCAGCGGTCTAATTCATCTTTTTTGAAAAATCGCAAATAGATATCTCACGAACAATTTGTGGCATGGCATCCCCTGGCCCCTTAAGGCATCCGCCACTGCCGGCGACCTCTATTTGGCGTTCGCTGGGAGTTCTTCGTGTGTAGCGGCCGGCTGTGCTTTTGGATGAGGGAAGAAAGAATAAAGACGAAGGGGTAGGATGGTCTAATTTCTAGTCAGTGATTGTCAAGGAACTGAGCGAGAAAGCAATTTGGTTCAGTTGATCTTACTGAGAAAGCACAGATCAAACACTTCGGGTCTGACCGAGTCAGCCCAATTTGCTGACTCGACCCAGTCAGACATTTATCAAACACTGCCTTAATAAAGTTTAATAAATTTTAGAGTAAATTACACGAATGGTCCCTATGGTTTAGGGTAATTTACACGTTTGGTCCCTAACTTATTTTTTTTTAACTCGGAAAGCCCTTATTATTTGTTTTTGTTACACGCTTGGTCCCTATCTTACCTAAAAACTATTTTGCCCTTGATTTTTTAAATATTTAAATAAACACACCCCAACCCCAACCTCCCTCACTTTACCCTACTTATCCTACAATTTTTTCCTATTTAAATAATAATTTTTTTTAGAATCGCGTAACAAAAACAAACAGTAGGGACCAAGCGCGTAACAAAAACAAACATTAGAGACTTTCCGAGTTAAAAAAATAAGTTAGGGACCAAACGCGCAAATTACCCCAAACCATATGGACCATTCGTGTAATTTACTCTAAATTTTAAATTACTAAGCTATAAATTAGTTTTGTTTTGTTTTGTTTTTGGTAGATAGATGCGAAGTTGTCAATGGATATTTTTTAGGGGGTGTTTGGATAGGAAAAAGAAAGGATGTTTATCACTGGCGGATTTACTACATACCCCGGAAAACCCCTCAAAAAAAATTCTGTAGTGTAATTTTTTCCGGAATTTTATTTTATTGTGTATTACGCGGGTTTTTTATTTTATTTTTTTAATTTTTATTTATGTCGGAATACCCCTTTACTTGTTGGGATACCCCTTTACTTTGATCCGTCACTAATGTTTATTGTTTATTGCTTATTCCCATCACAATAAGCTAAGTTTAAGTGTTTAGATAAAATCTTTAAAAATCAGCTTATTGTGTTAGGAATAAGCTAAATAAAATAATTTTAATAAGCATCTCTCATATTGTTTACTGTTTATTGCTTATTTTCACCAAAAATAAACTAATAAACAATAAGCTAATAAGCTAA